CGGCGTGGCGACCGCTTAAACCACTACGCCATCCGTGCAGTCTTATTCGTAATTAAGTTTTCTAACCGCTGATTAGTTCCTGCTGAGGTCACACTTTGTCAAGTTTAAATGACAACTATCTATGGAACGAAAACCACTGTAATAATCATCGCTTACACAATTATGGAATATACAATGTCTTAATTTAAAAAAAACCACCATAGACTCATTACATTTTTGTATTATCGATTCTTAAGTACTATGGTAACACTGACCATTAAAACATAATTATGCTAATTATATCCGTACGTATTTAGGTACTAATTTTTTCCCGCGGCTCCGCTCGCGTATATCGCGTATATTTTCTCAAAAATCAAAGTAAGTCCATACCAAATTTAATCTAAATCGGTGCAGCGGTTATTGATGCCCCATACAAACTTCCACCACCCTTTTCACCCTCTTAGAGGATGATTTATTGGATAAAACTACCCTATGTCCTTTCCCGGGACTCGGACTATCTCTGTACCAAATTTCATCTAAATCGATTCAGCGGTTTTGATTTCCCATACAAACTTCCAGCCACCTAGTCGCTCAGAAAGAATGATTTCTGCGATCAAAACTACCCTGTCCTTTCAATTGAATTGGACTATCTCTATATCCAAGACCAAAACCTTTCTAAGGAGAGGTCTATGTCCAGCAGTGGACTATTATAGGCTGTTGATAATGATGATGATCTCTATATCAAATTCCGTCACAAACGGTTATAAACAGGCCGAAAAAAAGACAGACATACACACTTTCGCATTTATAATATTAGTGTGGATTTAGACCTCATTATGTTTATGGTTATATCTCTCTCTATTTATAAGAGAGATACAATAATAATAATAACCTTACAGATCTCACACACGGCCGTCTGAACCCAGACTAGGCAAAGCCTGTTCTATAGCAACCAGACTGTTGATAAATATACTTATATATATATTTCCTATTATACTATTGGTAAATTACGCCCAGACACAACCACGAACAACGAAATGATCGTGCTCATCACACAAGATTTGTCCTGGGTGGGAATCGAACCCACGACCTCTAGCTTAGCAGTCAAGATCACTAACCACTAGAACAACAGGTCCGTCAAAATAAAATCACATCAATGGAGTCATATAAACGTAATTACTTATAGAATTTTGCAGTATTCAATAAAAGTCCAATCGCTAAATGCACATCTTAAAATTGCATAAAACTTAACGTTACCAGGCACTTTGAAAACACAATGTTCGTAGCGACATCAAGGACAGTGTACAGAGCTAAATGAACGAAGGTTATTCACTAAAGTCTATTATTGAAAATAGGACACGATCCGATGACCTTCACAACGAGCGCAGCTATGAATGAAGCAGTGCTAAAAATAGGCACTGGCTGTGCAGGGATTAAACCTGAATGGGACACACCCCCCGCACCACCAACGTTTGATAAATAGGGCACTGTGTCAGTTGTGACGTAACAACCTCTGACAACGTCAACGCATCCCAGGTGAAGTCAGAATATAGGTCACTGTGTACGTAAGTAACATATCAATAAATCTTTTTAACGTGGCAGTGTGTTCGTCCGTTCGTCCGTTGTTCTGTGACAGATTGCACTTAAAACACCATTAATACATGCTAAAAACCACCATCAAAACATGCAAATACAACTACACTTTTAGTCTAGCTAAAATTGTCGTTGGGGTCATAAGTTTTTTTTTTTAACTTTACAATTTTCAGACACCGCCGTCTGATTCCAAACTGGGCAGAGCCTGTTTTATGGTTACCAGACTGCTGATAAACATTATTATATATTTTTAAATGATTGTATAATTGTTTGATGAGCACCATCAAACAATTATTGGTTCCTGGGTATCACAATTAAATTTGGTAACGATCTTATGATCAAAAATGGTCGAAAGTTAATAAGTTTTCAAGGTGTCTATTATAGGGGCTTAACAATGGTAATTAATAACATGCAAAGGACAAACAGATCAAGAGAGAGTGACGGGCTTGGGTAATGTTACAGAACGCTGTTTGTTGACGAAGGAAGAAATCCATAGCTATAAGCGATTTTACTGAGGATCATTTTCAGCTAGAGACAATGATATAAATGATAAATCATAATAGTAATAATAGTCGACCACATTCACACAACGCCATCTAGTCCCAAACTAAGCAGAGGGTACTAGACAGCTGATATAAATACATATATACTTTTTTTGTTAATATAAACATATTATACATAGAAACACCCAGACTAAATCAAATATTAAATGTTGATGGACACAAATGTTTGACTTGAGCGGGAATCGAACCCGCGTACTTTGGAATAGCAGTCCGTTACACAAACCACAACGCCATCCGGTCGTAAAATTTTTGACTTTTTGGTATTTAAAGTTATATTTACAAAATACTAATAGTCAAAATATAAGATCCATTGCTTGGAACCTGGCACTGGCACAAACTATTTAATATACAGTCACACAAGTTGCCTACGTGACAAGAACACGCCTACTTGTCTCTCTAGGCTGGATATATGCCTGCGTAATTCAAAGAATTTGTTATTCTCGAGTTTATAAATACTTTTATTGTTGAATTGTTTAAATACTTTTACAATGGTACGACGACACAATTGTAAATAAGGACGATGAACGCTGTCAAAAATAGTCACGAAAATATGACATCCGATACAGTAAGTTTTAAAATTATTTATTTTGAAACCAAAACGGACGATGACTCAAAACTCTATTGTCTTTTAAAAGAAATAAAAGTGACTGAAGGACCATAATTTGTGTATTCTGAAATGTGAATAAAAAAAATCATTTTACAAATTTTGTAAATATTAAAATTATGGCTATGTCCAGTAAGTTTCTTATTTAACACTAAATTAATCCTACATTTGCATATATCGTAGGCATGGACAAATTGAAGTCTTTATCCTAATCCATTCTAAACAGTCGGTATTCGACCCAGAGACGATCTCTAGTGCTGTCAAAAATTTAATTGTAGATATATTTATTACTAGCTGACCCGCGCAACTTCGTCTGCGTCTCTCAATAGTAATAAATTTTCTCCGTTTTTGAAACATTCTTCATTGGTGCTACGCTCCTATTGGTCTTAGCGTGATGATACATAGCCTATAGCCTTCCTCGATAAATGCGCTATCTAACACTGAAAGAATTTTTCAAATCGGACCAGTAGTTCCTGAGATTAGCGCGTTCAAACAAACAAACAAACAAACTCTTCAGCTTTATAATAAACTAGCTGACCCGCGCAACTTCGTCTGCGTCTCTCAATAGTAATAAATTTTCTCCGTTTTTGGAACATTCTTCATTGATGCTCCGCTCCTATTGGTCTTAGCGTGATGATATATCCTTCCTATAGCCTTCCTCGATAAATGGGCTATCTAATACTGAAGGAATTTTTCAAATCGGACCAGTAGTTAGAACAAACAAACAAACAAACTCTTCAGCTTTGTAATATTTTTATAATAAATATATAGATATAGATATATTTATTATTAATACATGAACACTTTATCAAAGGTAAGGTACCCTAACGCCGGTATTCGGAGCAAAACATGCCGTAACATTTTTGCCGAAAGAAAACCACGAAGGAATGGCTTTCTTATCTTTAGAGACACTTCTATAAGTCAATTTCTCACAGCAAAGCTAGCCAAATGGCACCGTCATTTAGTGTGACAAGTCATGAGAAGCTAGCTGGAAAAAAACTCAAGAATCTAAGTTAACACATACTAAATGTTTTAGCGATTGATCGAACACATAAGCCAGGATGCTCTATGTATTAAAGAACCATTTCAGTTTTGAGTTGAGGACCGACAACTGGTGGACTAGATGTGAGTAATTACGGTACTCTGCTGTTTTAAGGACCTTCACGACACCGTTTGTCGAACAGGACGTAGGCATCTTATATAAAAAAAGCAATATTTTATTTATTAGTAAGTTGTCTAAGCATGCATGTGTTATATCAAAGATTTAATGACCATACTACCTCGTAGTTACGTTATCCGTTTCGAGACGACTATTGCGTGACGTCTTTGCATGACGTTATAATATCGAAATCAGTTATTGAATAAGTTACGACTCAACCTGAAATAGCAAACGATAAACTAAAATAAATCGAACTCATAATTAAGCATTACTTGATAAAGGCCAATCAAGGTTTTGCCCTTAAGTTTCCCTTGCTTTCCATCCTGTTTAACAGCATGAAATATAATAAATTATACTGAGAGGCAAAATGTTCAAATATATCATGAGGTTTTTTATATGACAGTACAGGGCGTTAACGGAGAACGTCATGTGATAGCCGTCCCATAGAGCCAGAAGAAGAAGATACCTAAGATGCTTGTAGATATCCAACCTCAACTCTTAAAAAACCGGTCAGGTACTAGTAGAACTCGTGCGCCGAGGGTTCCATACCTCCAGATTGCCGCGAAAATTTGTAAGTACCAAAATTTATCTTAATTTCAATTTTTATTTTTTTTGGAATTATTCCTTTATTTGTGCTGTAAGAAGTTTCTTTTTGCCAAATTTCGTGATTCTAGGTCAACGGGAACTACCACATAGGTTTTCGACCCAAAACCTATAGGATACTTCCGATTGACCTAGAATTGTCAATTTTGGTTAAAAGCAAGGTCTTACAGCACAAGTAAAGAGAAAATTTTGAAAAATTAAAAATATTTAAAATTTAGGTACTCACAAGTTTTCGCGAAAACCGAGATTTGCCCATTTCTTTTTATCGTGTTGACTCAAGACCTTGATTTTTATAAACCTAATAGGGACCATAGACCTGAGTGTCAGGTATAAATTTCAACTTGCTAGGTCTACCAGTTCCTGAGAAAATCGGCGGTACCACACGGACAGACGTACGTACGTCCCGTACCTTTAGAGGTACGGAACCCTAAACTAATTTTACCAGATTCCTATATTAACCAAAAACTTTTAGTGAAATGAATAGTTATAGAATACTAGCATGCTACTAGGAGTTAGAATACGCATGCTAAAGTGCCATAGGGCTTGCTACACCTGTCGAAGAATCGATGGCCGTTGGAGACTACGATTTGGTAAACGGAAAGTAGAACATACCCAGCCATATGAATTGACGAATGTAGATGAGATGACATGGATGCGACGGCAGACCGATGACGCAGACTTGGAGAGCCGATATACAGCATTGAACTGCGTTAGGCTTATTGTTAAGAGTGACGTACGAGATGAATCATCATCATCAACAGAGATGAATACTATAAGATAAAGTCTACTTTGCTTAGAACAATATGCACCCTCATAATACAAGCTAGAGCAGGGATTCCAAAGTGGTCGATATCGACCCCTTGGGGTCGCAATCGGTTTCCCAGGGGTCGACATGAACGAAAACTGATTATGAGGGTCGACGAGGTCTAAAAATTGACCGCTATTAATTAACACCAGTTCTTATTTGAAACTTTCAAGATACTGTTTAAGTTGGTGTGTATGTGTACGTGTATTCATTTGTTATAAGACTGACTATTTTTCTATTTATTTTGTTAAATTTTGATGAAAAAATGATGTCAAGTTTACTCACTTAAACAACCGTAAATTGGTAAGTATTTTGTATCAATAGGAAAAAAACTAGAGATAGGATTTTTAAAGTTATTTGACTACGGGGGTCTGAGGTATCAGTTCATTTTGGAAAAGGGGTCTCTTGCCCAAAATAGTTTTTGAATCCCTGAACTAAAGTTTGAAGTGGTTTTTTTATGGTGTAGGGGTGCAGTCGGGTCACCTGGTGGTTAGTGACTACCGCTACTGGACTTGTAAACCAAGAGACAAGTGCGTTGATGTCTTTTGAGTGCCTTTTCCTTCCAGAAAAGGTGGCTGGGGGTAGGGGATTAACCTTGGTTAGCGATTGGTGTACACTGTGATGCTTATATTTTATTAATAAAGAATTGAATTGAATTGAATTGAATATCTTTTCCACAAAACGTTTTTAAGTCGATGTGCATTCAGCATACAATGACATGACGTTGATTAGATTTAAAAATTAAAAAAACCTGAACAATGTTCTGCTTCATAAACATGGGCCATAGAGAACAAGTAGGGTATCTTATCTTTATGGTTAATACGTGTTAGATTAAATGTGACGCCATGATTATTTATGAAGAGAAAATGTTCCTATAATTTAATATTATTTAAAGCCGGTGTTATGTCTATAGACGTCAACACTAGCCGTTTTTTTTATGGAATAGGGGGCAAAAGAGCAGCCTGTTTCACCTGATGGTAAGTGCCGACCGCCGCCGATAGACACCTGCAACTTTAGAGTCACAAATGCATATGAGTGTCCACCCCTCAGGTGTTTTCTCAAGATTCGTCACTTACTAGGTGAAGAGCAATGATGAAATTGTTTTACAACGGTTTTCTGTGTGGCCATGGCATCGCTCCGGTCGAGACGGTCAAAAAATGCCGAAGCATGACTCTCTCATTATTAAACGTATGCACTTCAGCCTATGGCCGTCCAATGGTAAACGAAGGCCTCGGGCAGTTCGCGTCTATCCGCTGCCAGCCATTTTCCTCAAGTCGTCGGTCCATAATGCCGCAGGGCGCCCTACACTACGGTTGCCCAGTCGCGGATCCACTCTAGTCCGACCATCAGTCCTGGAGACATGACCAACACTTCCACTTTAGCGTACTGATTCTCTGATTAAACATATAGGTAGGTCTAAATATATACGTATCCATACTAATCCATACTATCCATACTAATATCATAATTGCAAAAGTGTCTGTCTGTCCGTTACCTCACGCTTAAACCGCTGAACCAATTTAGATGAAATTTGGTACAGCGATAGTTAGAGTCCCGGGAAAGGACATAGGATGGTTTTTATCCCAGAAGTTAGCCTTGAAGGGGGTGAAAAGGAGGGTGGAAGTTTGTATGGGAAATCAATAACTGCTGAACCGAACGGGCGGGACCGCGGGCAAAAGCTAGTTATAGATAAATTACATCCAGACAGAGAACTAATGATCACCACCACCTCAACATCTCCATGAAAACGTCGTAACTGGAACATCACTCATGATTCACAAACATCCTTTGTAGAACAATTAATATTCATCAAGGTTTTTTACAAATTTGTTCAATATGCAATTTTTCAATTACCGCAATTATCAGTTTAAATACCTGGGAATCTGATTTCTGCATAATAAATATGCAGCGACCTCACTGATTATAATCTTTACGTTACAAGTGAAACTACTATCATCCACTGCTGGGCCTCTCCTTAGAAAGGAGGTTATGGGCTATTTATACCACGCTGGCCAGACGGGTTGGTATAGGGCCTATGTCAAAATATCCTTGTTTCTCTCCAGTGCTGTTGTTTTGCTTATTTAGTAGGCTCTTACGACACCCACGGGATAAATAGGGTGGTGACAATCCGTATGCTTAATCCGTCACCACACCGGTGTTCTGTGAAGCACACCACAGTTTCAAGTTTTCTTCTCTTTGCAGTGCTGTTTTCCTGCGTAGTTCGTTCCCTTAGTCGCCTCTTACGACACCCACGGGAAGAATAGGGGTGATGAGATTCCGTATTCTTAATCCGTCACCACACGGACAGAAACTACTAATAGCGTGTTAAAAAAGTCAGCTTGCTCCTTGGGGAATAGCCTGAGTTGCGGCCGCTTCACCAATATACAAGTGACAGACACAAAATTTAGCAGGAACAAATATTTGTAAACAAATATTGGTCCCATGTGACACAAGGGACAAACATTTGCCACAATACACATACAAATAGCTGTCCCCTGTCACCCTTTGGGCCCACATCACGCGATGCAGTCACCACAGAACTGTATTATTAAAGGTACAATGTCCAGGGAAGACGTTTAGCATATTTTACTTTGACACATAATTTTTTCGTTTTTAAAATATTGATTAAAAATTTTATTTACTGTTGGATTGCCACAAGTTAAGATGCTGGATGAATATTGTTTCCTGTGTCTTTTAAACAGGTAACTTCACGTGTTTTCAAGACACAACAGGTAACTTAATGTGGCGCTACTTTACAAATACTTAATCAACTCCATCACCGGCCCAACCAACCACAATGAACACGCTGACTATGAAAGATTCTTTGTGGATTCCACAAATTTTGTCACACGTATGCATGAAAGCCGAAGTTTAACCAAAAACTTTACAGTAATTTTTATTCTATTGCATATCATATTATGCTTGGAGGTAGATGTCATTCTCGGAACTGTTTATTTACTTAAGGAGAATAGATTGCAATACATTGTAGTTTGTTTATTCAGAAATTGCTAAGTTTAATGGCCAAGGCGTCAACTTTGAAGGCGGTGGTCTTAGTGGCGGGATCCGCATTACAAGGTCACAACCGGCACTTATCTACTCTGATACAAGCACTCATCACGTTTGACCAAAGTTAGTGACAAAAAAAATGCAAATGTAGGCCTAGTTGCAGTTGAAAAAAAAAAAAAAGTAAGCCATGGTTTCCCTCCAATACATTTTTTTATGCAGTTTTATACCGGAGTAAAACTATTTTTGTTAAATTTTTGATATTATTAAATCATGTTTATAATACAAATCATCAAGTTTTAAATAACGATTTTAAATTCAGTTTCAATACATGTATTTATACAAAGCATCCACAATAAGACAACTAACCCAAACATCTCTTCATATTTCGTCCCATTGTCTTTGTAACAAGACGCTGCAAGAAAAAAAAAGCAAAAACAGAGCCAAGTAGGTCATAGGCATGCTTATTAAAAAGAAAAAGGCATGGGCATCGTTAGAGATGTGCCTACTTAATGTTTGCTCTATGCATACGCCAAGAAGGCATGATGAGGTCGGCCGAAATGAGGTCTTACTACAAAGGCAAAGCGCACACTTACTGGCAACACCGTGGAGCAGAATGATGACGTAACGGGTTTTAACTTTAAGGTTGCATATCTATTATGTCTATAGATGAACATCAAAGCGCGAGATGATGACGTAACGGATTTTGTGGTTCTTTTGGTAAATAGTCTTGAATTATACTAGTACTTAAACAGTATTTCGCCCCGCATGGCATAAAGAACAATGGCAGAAACATATTTACCTAAACCTTAAGCGTTTAAAAAATCGAGTCACAGTAAACTTAATCAAAAATTTTTCTATGATTTATCATTACACCACCATGTGTTGTATAAGTCTTATAAGAGATAAGATATTTTTGAAGATTTTATTTGACCTAAGTACGTAATGTCAGATTCGCCATCACGTATAACTGACTAGGGATGCGTGGTGGCAATATTATATTATGGAACAATTTATCGATAATCGATTCTTTTAGCTTTGGCTGAAATATTTACCGAAGGTTCACTATTATGATTATGAATTTGCTTCTGCCCACGTCTTCACTCGTACGGTAGAGTGACTGAATCAACATAATTAGAAATGATTTAAAATATTTTTGACTCTCTTTAAACGATTTTAAACACACTAAAGAAATAGAATATAGTTACGTTATTTTCCACTACACAGTGTGATGAGAAAAATACATTGTCTTTGATAACGGCACATAAATAGACATACATCGATATTTTGAAAATGTCGATACGTCATCGTTTAGTACATATCTCTTAATCTGTGGTTTAGATCCTGTCAAGTTCCGGACTCACCACGTTTGTTATTTTATTTTTGTTTAATTTAGTGTTAAACTCGAATAGATGTTATGCTTTTATTTTATTTTTTTCATATACTGTAATAATAATGAAAATAATATTTTCGGCCATCTGACACACAACGCCATCTAGTTTCAAACAAAACATTAACAATATGTTAGTACTTAACCTCGAAACATTCAAAATCCAATATCTTTTTTCCTAGACTTCTTTCGCAAGTAATTTTGATATGAGTATGGTCAAGAATAAATTCTCAAGTGTTAAGGAATTTTTGATATTTAAACGCTAACATTTCAGTTCAAATAAAATTATGTATGGGGACCTGCCATTGTCCTTTAGGCCGATGTTTGTGTGGTCCTAGATTTGATACACGTATCAAGAAAATTATTTTTAAATTGAAAGTTCGGATTAGGAGTTGTGATGTATAAACATAATTAGTAAAAAAAAATAACGACGGAGTAACGTCAATAAGTAATTATATGTTCCTTTATTGTTAACACATAATATGTGGTAAATATAGTTTCGCTCAACGTTTTTACTTGAGTAAAATTGCGCTTAATTCTGTGTTTAAACCTTAAATTACATCATTGGAGGCATTGCGACATAAATATAGAAGGCAGAGCAGAAACACCTCTCCTCTCCTAAAGATGGCATCATCATTAGCTTTGTGTTATTTTTTCTGGTGTCACTTTGATTGTACAAAGTGTCACCGTGTTAATCGTTTTGAACCCCTTCTACACGAAAAAAGACAAAAATTTCAATCAAATTGTCTCGTGTAGTTAAAATGACAAATCAAAATCATTTGGTTACCGGTATTGTCGTCTGGATCATGTCAAATCAATTGGTTCATGTAAACACTAGTTGGCTCATTTCGTCGCATTTTAGTTTACTTGCAAGCAGCACACACCAGGGCAGGTGTCTCTCAAGGTCTTTTATATAGAGGTTTTTTATTAATGCGTTTTATCAGTTCTGTGGTTACATAATAAGAATATTCATATAGAAAGATTAACATAGTATTTTAATAAAAATAAATAGTATTTGGTCTAACTAAGAAAACCTGTCTAACAAATATCCTTCTAGCACAGAAAATAAAATCAAATGAAAATTGTCGATTCAGTCGTGTTCGCGAATCGCAAATCTGATCCGAGGGCCTAGTGTGAGTGTATTTCAATACAACTCGCTTTCGACGACGAGCGCGTTCGGCGGTTCGATTGGTGAAGATTTCAGTGCGGGCCAATAGCATCACCGAACGCGGTTACGTCACGATCGAGTTGATGTGAAATAAACTCACACAACATCCTCTGTAGGAATTATATTGTGTGGAAGTTGATTTATCAAAATAATTAATTTAAAAAAATGTCTAAAAAAACTGGCCTATAATGATGTATTTAAATTTGATTTTCTCAAATAGCAAAATTAGACAACAGACAAAGATTAATATAACAATAAAAAATTTAAAGTAATTTGAGTTCTATAAAAAAACACATGAAGTTATAAATATAGAAGATATTTGTCTATTACACCAACATAAGAGACAATTTAAACCAGAAAAAATCATAAGTAGATTTTTAAACATCTAGTAGTTTTTTTGTTCAAATAATTCAGGTGTTTTATTTTGAAGTGGTATTAAGAGTTTAAAAATTAATAATTTGAAATTATTTATTGTGCAGAAGAAATTTTAATATAAATAGGGTTGTCAACCATAACATAGTAACACAGCTAAATGATGTAAATGTTGGCACTCCCAAAAACAATAGAGAGAAAGTAGAGGTACCAATTATAAAAATGTGTTTAGTATTGCCAAGCTAATTATTTTTGTAATTAAAGTCAAAGGACTACAGGCATACACTTAATTTTTTTTTCAAGTATATAAAACTGCACAAAAAATAATAATTTTAAATGGTTCAGAACATAAGTTTATGGTGAATAATTAAATTACTCCTAACCTGCATCATACAGTGTAACACCCACAGATGAAGGTTAGATGTGTGTCTAACAGGTCACAGTTACCTATATAATGTTACATTTTTCTCATGAACAATGAAAAAAAAAATATACCAAAAACAAAATTATTGTACAAAAAACAAAATTGATGAACCTATTTATTGTAACAGACTACTTTGTTGGCAGTTAAGTGGAATTTTTGTACTTTTTTTTGTATATTTTTTTATTTAACCATTTTTAATATTTAATGTGAATTGTAGTTATATAAATACCTTATAAGTTTCATTATAAATAATAATATTTATATTAAATACAACAAAGTTCGACCTCATAGTAGATAAAAACAGTTTGAAAGTATGAAAAACAAGAAACTATACAAAATAATAAATACAAAAGAAAAATAAACTCGGAAAAAGCACGTTACCCACCCCTACGAGAAGGCTGACATTGGCCTTTCTTACAACCCAACACAATCAATACAACTAGTAAAGCAGAATTTGTAAAGAGAACAGAAAAGGTACTCACATAGTATGACAGGAAAGTCGAAGGAAACAACACAAACACTAAGTAACCAAGTCGCGAATCAAAAATATTAGTGTTAATTCAATAAAATATCAGGAAAAAACTACCGAAACAGACTAACGAAGACTAGCGGCCGCCCATTTTGTTTTCTTCTGAATCTGTCAATTTTCCAGTATCCTTACCAGAGTTAAAAATGAATGGAAAATGTGTAGTCGTATTTACCTATTACTTCATTATTACAATAAATATTTTTTTTAAACATTAACTTTGTTGCCTAGTAAGACGAGGTTTGATTATACGTTTAGTGTTTGATGATTCTTATATGAACAATTTTTTTTCTCAGTTCTCTATAATTTACATTTACAAACCTTAGTAAACACAGAGTACTGTGTTCAATATGAAATAAGCCGATGAGGGTATTTTCCTATAAGAGTGTATACGAATCAATTTAACTGGAGAGATGATTTATATGCATATGTTGTATAAACTACTATATTATTTTAAACATGAGATACAAATTACAATTAATAACTTAATTTTTTTGGATCTTACTAGACAGAAAAAATATTTTCTAGTACTAGTAGCGCTATCTAGCGTCAATTAGAGATTATTTCATGTAGAACAGTGTCTTGAACTGCCAACGCACAAAACAGGAACATTTCAACCGCTTGGGTAAGCGAGTAGCGTTTAGGTTCATCATAACAACGCTAGATGTCACTACATGTATGACATGATGAAGTTTGATAAACATTGATACTTAGGTGACATAGGTATTATTTTGGTGTGTGAATAAATATATATATATAATATATTACAGTGAAAACCAAGGTTAAGAAGAATATTAAAATAAATTTTATAACATTATATATTATGGAGTTTCCGACTTTCAGCGTAACTGACAGCGAGGCAAAGGAAATGTTTTCATTAAAGCCTACTAATTTAACCTTGGATTAAGCTTAGCTTAACGGATAGTTAACGATGATGTGATAATATACAGGAACTGAATAGTGGAAATAGATTAAAGGAGCATTTCAAAGATAATTTATTAACGAAAACATTACAAATCACTGGGCAATTACGGATGCGGTAACAGCTTTGAACGTTATGGTAAAATTTGGGAAGATATACAACTTGCCGACATCGAACCGACGGCTCCCGGTACAGAACGTGTCATATTGTTCATAAGCAAGTTTCGTGCCGATGAATGAGACAGCGAATATGCACACTAGAAGAAGAGCGCAGACAGTGGGACAAAGTATTGCCCCCAATTTATTCACTCTATCAGTCCTTATCTCCGATCCTATTTCTGAGTCTGTGATGCTCTGCCCTTTAGTCATTGCTGAAATAAAACATCATCAATAAACCAGTTTTATACTTAAGAAAATCGTCCGTGTGGTGACGGATTAAGAATACAGAGTGTCACCACCCCCCTTCACCCCGTGGGTGTCGTAAGAGCCGACTAAGGGAGCAAACTACATACTACAACAGCACTGCAGAGAGAAGGAAAACTTGACACAAACCCTATACCAACACGTCTAGCCAGCGTGGTATAGTAATCCAAAACCTCCTTTCTAAGGAGAGGCTTATGTCCAGCAGTGGACTATTAAAGGCTGTTGATGATGACTTAAGAAAAATGTTAAATCTTCTACAGTCACATCATCACTCAATCATCATCCCAGAAGCATTGTCCTCGGCGTAAATTTTTCGGCTAATAAGAAGAATTCTACTGGCGAGGAAGGATTAAGACGCAAAAGCAACTTGTTAGCACTTAAAACCTATTATCACCACAAGCTTGTTTATTAAATAATACAGCAACTTCCTTAACTACAGACAATAATCAAGACAATACAAAAAAGGAGTCCAATACGCGCTTATCCTAATTTCCAGAAAAGTATATCTGAATTAGAACTTTTGATCAAAACAGAAGTTGTAAGCGGAACATAATTCAATGTTATAAAGTGGTTTTCAGCGGTTTTATAAGAAGTTTCTAGATAGAAGCGATCTTTCTGCAAACTGTGTGCCAAACTGAGAAGTTATTTACTTAAAAACTTGTTTAATTTAAACCACCTGAGACAATATGCATAAGTATCATTTAAGATGAACATTGATATTCATTTTAGTTTTAAATAAAATATGTTTTTAAAATAAATTACATTACACTTACTCTCTGCCAATTGTGATGTGAGTAGAATTAATGAATTCCAATAAACATTTTTAATTAAACACGAATCCGGAAAGAAGAATACGCGAGAAATTAAGAATAGCACGTTTGACAGTATCACATGCAGTTGGTTTGACACTGACACACAATCTATTTTTTTCTAAATAGCAAAGAGAACTTAAAACTGACTTTTTCATAAATTTTCAATAGAATCTCGAACTTTTTTTGATTAAGTGGGGGCTGCTTGATTTAAGATCTTAGACAGTATGCTGATTTCTCTTCTGCCTATGCTTATTTTAAGCATAATCATTATAGATAGTTCAACTCATTCAACTTTCATTCGTGTGGCAGTGACGCGGCAGTCGGACGACGACTGCCACACGAATGAAAGTTGTATATTTACAACACGCACACATAGGGCCGCGCGCACAACTGAGTTGAACTATCTATAGATGGTTATAATTTTTGTAACAGGTTTTAAGTACCTCACTTTCTTCCAAAGCAACTTTTTTTTTCCAATTAATTAAACTAGAAGTACTACTACATTTCTGGAGAACTTTGTTTTCTTCCAGCTCACAAGAGTCAGCTCGAGTCAAATCTTTAATATAGGGAAGGAAACATGTTTTACAAGGCAAACAGGGGCCACCACCACAGCGCAGATACCTGTAACTCAGGAGACACAAGTGTGTGTTGCCCTCTCCTAGAATTATTCTTTGTTAACCTTAACTCCGGTAATATCTCACGCAGTGAAAAGCAACGAAAGCATTGCCTACCACCGGTTTTATTCGCTATCACTCCGGTCGAGCCAGCCAATATGTACCGAAGCCATATCAATATTATAAATACGAAAGTGTGTCTGTCGGTCTGTTATCTGTTTACGCTTAAACCGCTTAACCGATTTAGATGAAATTTGGTATAGATATAGTTTAAGTCCTGAAAAAGGACATAGGATAATCTATTTGACCGAAATTATCCTTTAAGAGTGTGAAAAGGGGATGGAAGTGTGTATGGGGAATCAATAACTGCCGAATCGATTGAGATAAAACTAGGTATGAGGACAGTTTGATTCTTGATAAAGGGAATAGGCTATTTTGTACCACGATAGCCGACATACTTAAATATATTATTTAATATCTAATTCTATGTATCTAAAATATTTTCAAAACGATCCCTTGTCCTCTATCTATATTATTAAGAAGATGACCTCCTCATCTATCACTAACCTTCTTACATCTAGACCAAAGAGATACGCTCTTTGGACCTAAGATAAAGAAATACCACTTTGGACCACAGTGATATTGAAGTCAAGAATGACGTTTCAATATTGACTATATATTATACCTATTGCCTATTTATCGATAGCAATTCAAAGAGCCTGTCGTTGAAGATTTAAGGAAATATTTATGCAAGTATTATTTTCTTAATCCGTGTAATGAATGATTAAGAATACAGAGTGTTACCACCCCTATTCATCCCGTGGGTGTCGTAAAAAGCGACTAAGTGAGCAAACTACGCAGGACAACAGCACTGCAGAGAGAAGGAAAACTTGACACACACCCTATACCAAGTCGCGTGGTATAGTAGGCCAAAGCTTCTTTTCTAAGGCGAGGCCTATGTCTAGCAGTGGACTATTATAGGCTGTTGATGATGATGATTATTTTCTTAGTTTTTAATTATATAAATATGTTACATATTATTTAAACCTATTTACTCATTAGATCGTAATATGTAAATTAGTTTATAGTTGTGTGCACTAATAGATATAAATTTATAACTGCTCGGCCTTTTTCCTCTCTCCTAACCTTTTGCTGTGCCCGACAGGGTACATAATGGTTCTGTATTTTTAGACCATGTTTCATGATGTAGTATATACATCATTGAACGCAATCACTTGAGTATTTAGTATATTTTTTTTTGATTTATAAGTACGATTCATTTGGTTAAATTAAGCCAGTAAGAAGTGAACTATATCATAAGTGAATACACCAGGATAGTACAAGTAGTATAAAACAAAAGTAACAACTTTTGTAATATAATAAATTATTATTATTTCGTACATCGGACACGTCATCAAGTTCAACGTCATCTAGTTTCAAACTAAGCAGAACTTGTTCTGTAAAAGCTAGATTGACTGATAGAATACTTTTTTTTGTAAATACATACATATTATACACTAGCTGACCCGCGCAACTTCGTCTGCGTCTCTCAATAGTAACAAATTTTCTCCGTTTTTGAAACATTCTTCATTGGTGCTCCACTCCTATTGGTCTTAGCGTGATGATATATAGCCTATAGCCTTCCTCAATAAATGGGCTATCTAACACTGAAAGAATTTTTCAAATCGGACCAGTAGTTCCTGAGATTAGCGCGTTCAAACAAACAAACAAACTCTTCAGCTTTATAATATTAGTATAGATAGGAAACACAAAAACTTCCAAACAATAATAATAATATAATATTTATGCTCGTAGACGGGAATTACTGGCTGGTAGCCAATGACCACGGCCAGTGGCCTAGTAGACACGTCAGAGAGTTCTAAGGTATGTATTTATCACCTGTTCACGATATCGTTAATTCCTGTTTAGTTGCAGACATCTAAGGGGCTTACTATTACTGTCCCTTTGCTAGTGGTCGCCCAGTGGTCGAAATTCGAGCATTGTTCATTTCATTTTAAGGTTTGTACTTCATTAGGGTTCTTTTGTCAAATATTCTCCTCTATAATCAAAGGTTTTATCATGGATGTAATATATTTCTAATGCGTTTTTTCGTACTTTTTCTCCATATGAACTTTAACTGTGTCAAGTTTCATGTTCATCCGTTAGCGCATTTTTTTTAAAAAGGGGTCCACAGTTTTGTTTCACGTATTAATATATAGATACCATAAAAATACTATTGACGAATGTACTAATTCTGACTTATATTTTTGTATTTTTAGGTGTGCCAACGTCCATTTTGAAAGTTTAATTAACATTGATTACCAGTTTTTACAACCAATATTAAAGATGAGAACGAAATATAAGATTTATTTTCTTATATACTCTTTAACGATTTTCCTTGTCTTCTTGTTGTTTCTATTTCTGATGACCACGCTTGACCCTGGGTTGTTAGAGTTATCGGAGAAGGCTGCCAGGATGATGGCACAGGATCGAATTAGAGGAGACGAAGGTCCGAATAAAATACACTTGGTAAGAGATGAATTGGAGTTTTAAGAAGTACGTATGAACTATTGAAAAGTATCTGACCGTAAATACATATTTAGTAGTTCCCCACCGGTTCAGTTACCTTTATGGTCACTGCTCAGCCCCTCGGCTTAAAGGAATCGTAGCTTGATTTGTTGACGACCAGACTGGTCATTTTATTGTATGTGACACCTGCAATTCAAAAGACAAATGCGTTGCCACCATTTGAGTACCACCTAGATTTTTGAGCATTAGGGGGAAGGGGGTTCGGGCCGGAGGTAACCTTCCGGCATTTAGAACTTTAAACATCGCTTTCCAAGGTCGTCACTCCGATTGAACCGGGCCCATGTGAGTCGAAGCGTGCCTTTTAGGGATTGAAAGAAATCACAATCACCTGTGATAAATCATAGGATTTATATCTCACATCTGTCACTAATTTACAAAACCACTGCGACTTATTGTTATTATTGCGCTAGCGCCAGACTCGCGAAGTCTATATCTATACTAATATTATAAAGCTGAAGAGTTTGTTTGTTTGAACGCGCTAATCTCAGGAACTACTGGTCCGATTTGAAAAATTCTTTCAGTGTTAGATAGCCCATTTATCGAGGAAGGCTATAGGCTATATATCATCACGCTAAGACTAATAGGAGCGGAGCACCAATGAAAAATGTTTCAAAAACGGAGAAAATTTATTACTATTGAGAGACGCAGACGAAGTTGCGCGGGTCCGCTAGTGTAAAATAAAGGTCGTACAAAATTAAAAGAGTTTTGATTGATTTTGATGTCATTTATCTATGACAAAATCAGAATTGAAATCGCAGTGACTAAAGGCAATAATAACATGATATGATTATGATTTAGAAGTAGCAGTAATTTCCATGCATTGCCTCTCCCATGTTGTATTGGTTAGATAGATAAATAACACTATAATCTTAAAGTTGTCCAACACCTGTACGATAGCTGGATGGTAAGTATCTATAAGCTCTCCACATCCAGCAAAACATCAGTACTGGTAAACTAATAATGCTGACGAAATCTTTCTTCTGAAGAGTTATACTCGTATAGTCTAAGATCTATAGTATTTTTAACTAAAATTTTGTTAATTGATTTTTGGGAAAACTAGTGGCCACTTTGAAAGGCAACCTGGTAGAAATATAATCTACTAATCATAAATATGCGTAAAAACTCGATGTGTGCACTGATTTTGCAGCCGGATCTCGTACTAGTAGTTCTTCTAGAGCTCAGTTTAGTTATCTTCTTTTGGAAAAGTGGTTACGCTTGTATATGCTAATAACTATTGAAAGTTTAGAAGATTTATTTATGTACTACCCACAGATACCTATTTGAAATGATTTTTTTTGTAAGAAATTTATAGAATGTACATCTTAATCTACATTTCCTTTACTTTCAGCCGACTGAAATATACGTCGATTTCTTAGAAGTATTGAACAAATCTGAAACCTTATTATCTATGAATAATGTATAATTTATGTTACTGCTTTAACTAATTATGTAGAATGAAAATAAAGCCGTACAAAAGAACAAAATGGTTTCCTAATTTACCAACAGAACAGTTGACAGAGGGGTAACGTCCTATTGGGAATGAAATTATCTAGAATCTTTAGTCATACAACACACAATTGGAATGGATAATCCATTGATATAATAAATGTTTTTTTATTAAAATAATAATAGTTTAAAAAAATTAAAAATAGTAAAAAGCACCCCTTTTTTTCAAATTCATTTTCTATTTTTTAGTTTGGTTTCCTATAAAAGCGTGTTTTTAGTTTTTTAAAACTATTCTTTTTTAAATTAGTGTATTGTCATCGGTCCTCGATATATCTACAAAGTTTGAACGAATTCTGACCGTTTAAATTCAGTCAAAATCACGCCCAAAGGAGTCGGTTACAAACAAACATACAAGTGAAGCTAATATAAAGCATGTAATAAAAAAGAAACTTGAATGCGTGAAATATATACTTAAAATTAAGAAACTAGCGATTTTAATTGTTATGTACATACATTAACCCAGTGTCACTCCCGCAATTAAGGACGAATCTAACGATTCTCTGGTATCCTTAACTCCGGACACGTCAAACACCGAAATTCATCAAGTCTTTTAGGCTAGGGAAAGTGCCAAAGAAAGAAACATACACTCAAAAAAAAAATCGGTTGTATGTAAAGTTGGTTTACTGACGATAGTTGAACGTGACAACGTCATAAGAAAATACTGATGGAATGGTTGCATTTTTCAAAAATGTATTATTGTATACGAGTAGTAGCTGTCCACGCGGACGCATCGCTCACTCAAGTTCCTACTTGAGAGAGACAGAACGCTGCCGAACGCGGAGTCCGATTGTGCCTCTTTGTCACTCGTTCCGCGCTCTCCCTTGCACTCCACGCCTTAAATGGAACGCCTCAGAGCGAGGTAACGCCGCAAGAGTCATGTTTTTTCGTGCGTGCAGCCGGCTCCATCGAATTATAAGACGTTGTCACGTCAATAACCGTCTTTCTGGCGCAGTCGAGTAAAAAGTAAGCCCAATATTTGAGTGTATTTGTTTGTTGGCTTTGCTTTGGAGTGTTCAACCCATCAAAATGAAAGTTAGCGTGAACCTTGTTACTGGTACATAGAAAGGGATAGAGTATTAATTATTAAAAAAAAAAAATGTGACGGGGACAGATTGATTTATCAAGACTTTATTTTTATTTTAGACGGCCAGATGGCGTAGTGCTTTGTGTAACGGATTGCTACGCCAAATATCGCAGGTTCGATTCCCGTTCAAGTCAAACATATAATTGCATGCATAAACATTTACTGGATGTTTCTATATATAATATGTATTTATTTACAAAAAAAGTATTTATGTATTTATATCAGTCATCTATTACCCATAGTACAAGCTCTGCTTAGTTTGGGACTAGATGGCGTTTTGTGAATGTGGTAGAATATTTTTATTATTATTTTCTTATAACTTTTGCTTACATTGAAGTCCACATTACCGCTAGTAAAAGCTGGTACATGTTAAGTAAATTTGTGTTGCTTTACATAGCTATTGAGTATTTCCGACATATATTAAAGAGGACTAGGATTACAAGACTCTACTTTGTATAAGGACTTTCGAAATCACTGCATACCATTTCATCATCATCATCATCATCATCAACAGTCTTTAATAGTCCACTGCTTTACATAGGCCTCCCCTTAGAAAGAAGGTTTTGGCCTATTATAGTTTGTGTCAAGTTTTCCTTCTCTTTGCAGTGCTGTTGTCTTGCGTAGTTTGCTCCCTTAGTCGGCTCTTACGACACCCCCGGGGATGAAAAGGGGTGGTAGCACTCTGTATTCTTAATCTATCACCAAACGGATCTTAATATATGATTATTATATAATGAGAACATTAATTTAAAAAATACGAGAAATTTATGTAAATAGTTGTGATGTGTGTGTGTGTGATAGTGTTAAAATTGTGTTTGAATTTATTTGATATGGCGTTCATCTGTTGTAACATATCAAGTTATATATGTTCCGTTTAATTAATTCTTTGTATTCTACCTACATTATACCTATTGAACATAACTTTGAAGTTTAAGGAAATAAAGATACTCAAACGATGGAGCCGAAATGTAAAAAAATAAGTTTACCTGACCAAAGAGAATGCAAACAACTCTTCCATAACATACTTTGATAGTTCAAATGACATGATTTTATAATGTTTAATGTTCAAATTCACCCAAATTTATAGTATACTTAACCGTTTCATAATCGAATTAAATGCAGTAACATTATGTAATTACTAATTGCATTGTCGCGTTGAAGGTAATTTTACATAAAAATCTGTTCTAATGAGATGGCGAAAGGGACAGTAATAGTAGCGATATGTTCAGCCGGTATTGTCATATTGTTTTGTGTTATGCTATATTTGATGAGCACTGTGAATCCTCCGGCAGAATTCAATGTCGCAAATAAAAAAGTCTTAAAACAGACTACAACGTCGTCTTCTGAACCTCCTGACGAAACTGGACGAAGGGTAAGGATCATGCTTTAAATACGACTTTTTTCTTTAAAAACAGCCGGATAAGTGCGAGTCAGGCTCTCCCTCCGAGGGTTCCGTACAAGTTTTAAGTTACAGTTTATAAATAGTTCAGGAAATTTAGTTTCCGAAAGCTACACTTAATTACTTAATTATTGTGTTTTATTAGTGAAATTGTACCTCGATGATTGATTACTTACTTTAAATAAATTCTATATTTTTTATGATTTAATTAAAAATGTATAGTTTTAGACTTTCCTCAGATTTCCTTAGATTTTCTGTACACGTAGTATAAGACGCTGTTACTTGCCAATTTTCATGGTTCTAGGTCAACGGGAAGTACCCTTTTTTTCTGTGCGGAAATCCCCTCGGATACCACTTACCGGTTTCAATGTTGGACTCGAACCGACTAAAACCGCACGCCGTCTCAGGTACCAGTAGTCGGGGAGCCAGGTGTACCCTAGAAAGGAAGTCCCTGGTGCCCCGACATACCGCGGGCCATCTACAACAACAGGTAGACGACCCCTCCCGTGTGGGAACCCCATGTTCCCTCTGCTCCCTGGAAGCGAGCGCGCTTCGCAACGCGCTCGCCGCCACCCCGGCCTGCTTCTGCTAGGGTGACAGATGGCCTCGCCTGTCACCCCTAGGCCTAACGGGAAGTACCCTATAAACTTTGATTCCCTTGAGTGTCGAAATATGCGTTAACTTAGAAGCTTGATTTTTTCACAACTTCAAGGAACTGCAGACCTGAGTATATGGTACTTTCAACTTTCAACTATTATTATTACTTTCAACTTGATAGGGTGGTTTAGTAGGCCAAAACCTCCTTTTTAAGGAGAGGCCTATGTTTAGCAGTGTACTACTAAATACTGTTCATGAAAAAAAAAACGATAAGACAATTACAAGTAGGTGAAATAAAGTTTCATGATTTGTTTACACAGGTAGTTAATTAGCTACAAGTGAAGCTAATATATTAATAATGTGTAATTAATACGCTAGTGTTATGTATTATAAGCTTTTCTGAAAAAATATCTATGATCTAGATGTTACTAAGCATCAAATTGTTTCAGATTGGAGGAATTTACTTTGATGATGCTGGAGTACTTCCAATAGTAGATACTGTACAATATGGATTGGAGAAGATTGATAGTGACGTAATAGACTTCTACCGTTCTACGGCAAAACCAGTACTAAAATATCAGAATAAAGATCGGAAGGTCATACCGCCGCTTTGGCCTCGAGCTACACAAGAAATTATCGTAAATCCAACTATGCATAAAGTAATGCCTCCAATTTGGCCGACTACATCGGTGATAATAGACACAGTTATATCCAGCATTAAATCTGAAAAACAAAACAGCACAACTAAGGTAGAAACAACATTAACATCATCAACATCTGAACCAACGAAACCAAGCGTTAAACCAATGAAAAGGAGATCCGTCAGCAATTATGTACTGGATGAGGATTACGATTCTGTAATACTTAAGATTTTAGACTACAATGGCCAGTCCAAAATTGAAATCAAAATTTGGTCAGATACCTTCTCTCAAAAAATAATAGGCAAATTAAACGGTACAAGAGATTTACAAAATAAATCAAAACACACTCTGAAATCAGGTAGAAATGTATATCATGGAACTGCTGAGAGTGCGAAAAATACTGTAATCACTATTTGTGCGAATGATTCCGTACTCATTGAAGAATCAGAAGGTACAAATGTGTCAGAATTACTTAATACTATTTCTTCATTAACCACAAGAGATGAAAACGACAGTAATATTACGGATGTATTAAGAGCAGCACCGATAAACGAAACAATCAATGAAAAAAAACCTACTGAAATGTTTTTAGTAAATGAAACAAAACCTATGGGAGAAAATACCAATAGTAGTGAATTTCAAATAAAAACCAGTCGTAGTAATATAAACATTACAAAACACGAAATATCTTCAAACACTGCTAACTTTAGTAGTGAATTTGATATTCTTTTTGATGCTAAAACTAATAATACTGAATTTAATAAAAGGATATTCAAGGAAGAGGAAAATATCGCAACGGCTGATACCACGCGTGTCAATGCTCCAAATAAAGATAAAATTTCAATAACTGATATATACCCCAATAATTACACAGATCTTTTTATAGAAGGTGATAGTGATATGGTTTATTAGAATAACCGTTGTATTACAATGATGATAGTATTATTCGTCTGTTCGTATCTTCAGAATAGGATGACTGATGGAAATTGGCAGTTTTGAATACAGCAAAAGTTTAGATCTTTAATGATTTTATTAATTGGAAATTGGTATTTAAGCTACATTGAGAAAGTGGTTTCAATATGTCTGAGAAAAAGGCATGACCATGAATCAATTCTTAAAATTAACCCGTGTTACATTAGTGGATTTGAGCACATAAAGGTAGTATCTAATCAAGCATGAGAACATGATTTGTGGAAATTTCTATACCTGCTTGAAGCTTTATGCTAAGCACGCTTTAGCTATGCAGGTCTGATTTGCTTTTTCTTTTTATAATATACGAACAATGTTGATGCGGAACTATATCAATGATAAACATTATAATTGATATAATCTTTTGTAATTTAATCGTTGAACCTTTTAATATTTGTTTAATTTTTAATATTTTTGTTTAATAATGTAGCAAAAAGTAACAGGTCAGGTCGTTGTTAGATTGTGATGATTCGAAGTAATGTGAACTTTGAAATACTTAACGTTTATAAGCAGAAAAACTGCAGCAAGTTAAAATATTCACACATGTCTGCAAAAATCTAGAGATGGTTTAAAATGCATGTTGATATGTTATTGTACGAAAGACTATAGGTGCAATGACAGTGAACCATACTTGAACTAGTTCGAAATTTGAAGATCAGACAATTTCTAGTCTATATACTGGTCTAGTCTAGTGTTCTATTTTTAGAAAATTTAAACACGGTCATTCTTTTTAATTTTTATAAAATGGTCGTAGTTCAATGATAATATGTATCTCTCGAATGATGTCGGATTTCTAGCGTATAGCTGCAAAACGCGGCTTTTTAAATTAAGAATCGGGAATTGAGTCGCCTGTAGGTAGGTTACGATCAGTCCGATTGACAAATGTATTCAAAGGATGTCCTCCTATACAAATAATGCCAAATTTTATGAACTAATGTTTTTGATGTTTCAGTTTTAGTATAAGTAACGATTTAATATTTAAATTGAAGTACTTTGGCTGAATTACCACTGACTCTTATCTCTGCAGTAAATTCTTCAACAATTGATCTTCTTTCTCAAAGTCAACAAAAAAATGTAATCTTTGAATGAGATTCCGAATATGTCTAAAGTTTTAAAAAAATGTTAGTTAATTCAGCAAAATATAGTGCTGATAAATTTTATATTGACTGTTTTATACATTTAAGTTGTATATTTTATACTTAGTGTAGACGCGAAGGGATGAAAAGGTAAAACGTCACTTATAATTGTCGCCTTCTTATATTGTTTATATGCAATGATTGAAATAAATCAGTTGTGTTAAAAAAATATGCATTTATTGTTTTTGTATTATCATTTATTATTTTATAAATTTTATTTCTAAATTTGTTTTCTGTTTTTTACTGTGTAAAGCTGGCTAAAAAATTTATATAATTTTGTCCTTTAGTAAGACAATTTAAAGAAAAACAACTGAAAGAGTTCACGCGAAATAGCGCGGACTAGTATGGACTTGGTCGAAGTCGCATCAACAAGGTCCCTTTTCTTTCTTTCCCATGATCTACATAATAGATCTATCCCACTGAAGATACTTGGACATGACATCAGGATAAAGGTAATTTATTTATTTATATTTCTATAAAAGGAGCTGGATTCGAGATCCAAATGTCCAAAATCGATCTAAGTGGCATGCAATGGGAGAGGCCTATGTCCAGCAATTTACTGCGATAGACTGGTGATGTTGTCCCAAAAAGTTTTGGTCTTCTGTAATGAAGGATACACCAGATCAATAGTTTATTTTTCTTTGTGATATTCTTGTTGAAGATCCAGTGTAGAATACCTTAAGCAATAGATCCGCTGATGTATGAATTTGTGTACGAAGTTAAAGTTAATAAAGAAAAATAACATTTTGGAGTCCAGCAAAACACTGTGTTGTAGCTTATTAAAGCCTCCCACAACCAATCAGTAATACAAATTGTCGCCAGCGGTATTCCCGGACCTATACGACCCTCCAACCTTTAAGAAAAGAGCGCACTCCCACCTCAGATATCGTCAACGCACTTCTGAACCCAGAGTTGCAAATAGGTTTTCTCTTTCTCTTTTTAAAAAGACAACTCCCGCATTAAGATTATATCCCTGTGTCGCAGGGGACTTTACAGACATACATTAAATGGACACAAAGAACACCCAGACACAGAACAACAATTTGTGGATCACACAAAGTGTTGTTCCATGCGGGGATCGAACACACAACACTCAGCTCAATGAAAAGCGGCGAGGTGACCGCTTAAACCACTACGGCATCCGTGCAGTCGTAGAAGTCCTTCTGAGGTGATCAGTCCGCTTATTTGCCCCCTGAATTATACAAAGGTATTTTTCAACGACTTCCACCGAGGTCAATAAGAAAATTTAATTTTAGAGAATGGAGTCGCGTACTATTAAACAATTAAAAACTTAATATTAATACACTCGCTTAACATTAGGACTCCCTCACACACACACACACACACACACACACACACACACTCACACGCGCGCACACACACTCACACGCGCGCACACACATACAAAAGCTATTTTACAATGTTGACAGTCTATCTAGATATATTACGAGTAATATAGTAAGTACCGCACTTAACAACCATTGAAATGTCTTTGATATTCTTCTTTTTGGGGTTTTTTCCTCGTCGTTCATCTCTGGCCGCTGTTACTGTACTGTACAGCTGGACTGTAACAACCTTTTTTTTTGTTGACGGGGTGGAATATCCCTTTGGATCTTCTGCTCCTCGGGGACTCAGGAGCCAGGAGTATGTGGTGATTCCACTAAAAACAACTCCGACGGCCGGCTTCAGGTGTCCTACTCTGTGAGGACCCAGACCATGTTATTTCAGGTCCTCCCCGAACTGAAACCATGCCTAATCAGGCTCTATCCCAGGGGAAAACCACTTCCTCCTTCAATCGCGGCGTTGCGGTCTGATTGCATCTCAATGCAATAAGGCCGCCATTCTATCCCTAACAACCTAGTTAGCCAGTTTTATAATTGGCTATGTTAATTTGATTCAGAATTAGAAATTACTAATAAACAATTCATTAAAGGTAAGAATGTAGATTTTACGAAAACAAATCAAATAAGATGACAATAAACAATAAATTTAAACTAAATTATTTATACGTTTGGCCTTGCAATACGCTTTTAACCCTTCAACGTCCTTTGTCTTCGTTAATATTGGTAAAATCAGTAAGTAGCTATAGCTAATAACACGTATTCGTTGCTGGTCTTGCTCCAGCTATTAATTTAACAATCAAATTTCAAAGCATGGATATTACGAAATAAACTTGTATCTTGAACGTTTAACAGTTCGACATGATTAAAACAGATTAGTTTACTATTACAAGACGACAAACTAAAAGCGACTGTCTCTGGACACGAATAGAGTTTAAAATTAGTAGATATAGTATCAATGTTATATTTATAGTGAAGTATTTAAAAGTTCGAAAGAGCTTTTTATAGTGTTAATCGAGGTAAAAAACTATCTCCTTTGGTATTTCATCTGAATTAGTTCACCGGTTATTGATTCCCCATACAAACTTCCACCCTACGTTTCACCTACTTGAATGATAATTTTTCCGACTAAAACTATCCTATGTCCTTACCCGGGACTTAAAATATCTCTATATAAAATTTCATATAAATCGGTTCAGCGGTTTAAGCGTGAAGAGGTAACAGACACACAGACAGACACACTTTCGCATTTATAATATTATACTAGTATGAATTGATCACAGTCCTCGCGACACAGCTTTGGATTTCGATTTGCCACCAGCCACTAAAAGTGGCGGGGTGGCAAATTGCTTCGGATCTTTGACTGGCTGAGGACGCTATCGTAGCGATGCAAGAGCCAGGAGTATGTGGTGTGATGACCAATAAGACTATACCTACGGGCATCTTCAGACTACTCTGAGAAGGACTTGGTTCATGTGACGTCGCGCCTAATCGGTCCAGTGACGTTGCGGCCCAACCGCGTCTTGATATTCTTTGACACAACACTACACCATCGTTAGTTCGTGGTGTAATGTTGCGACATCATACTTCGATGTTTGCAAATCATCTACGTTTATTGTTCATAAGTAATAATTTTAAAATATAACTAATTTAATTATAATAACCGATCTAATTTTGTACAATGTACAACATTATTATACCTTATTTATTGGACAAAACATAACTTAAGTGTTATAAGCATAAATGGTGACTGCCCTTAAAACAGATAACTACTATGTTGCAAACTTCACAATTACAAAATTGCGCAACTGATGAACGTTCACTACAACAGATTAGGAGCATTGTTCTCTATGAGATTTTCTAAATGCTGTGAATGTAAAATGGTAATATGTACGACGAACAGTTCGTGAAATGATGAATAAATTCGCGATTTTTCTATGTTCATCATAATTTTTCTGCCCTTCTCTCAATTCTATTTGGAGTCATACATATTGTCACAAAACTTTTGCGAAAGTTCGATTAACCGCGCAATTTCGGGTATCGTTTAATAATAATGCAGGTTGGCACGGGACAGTAAGTTCTAAACCAATACGCATAGGCTCGAAAATAGATTGTCGCGCGATTATCTTCGCGATTATATTCGAAACTAATTTGTATTTCTCAGAAGTGGACGGTTCTTGTAGGGATTGGAAATTGCTGTAATGTTCCTTTACGAGTATTATAAATACGGACATCGTTTTTGGAGTCAGTTTAATTCGAGCTATAGTGCGATAAACGTCGAAGCGATTGGAGCGAATAGAAGTGTGTGACTATTCTTCAGTGTGGTTGAACGTTTTAAAGTGTAGTGATAATAAAGTCTCTTTTGTCGTCAGAAGGTTTATTATTCCAAATCAACGAACCCTAACACGTAACAATATAATAATGTAAAGGTTTTGGGCTGGTTTAGTTTTTAAATAATATAGGGTTG